ATTATTATTATTTTGAGACAGTTTTTCTCTGTTGCCCAGGCTGGAGTGCAGGGGCACAATCTGGGCTCACTGCAACCTCTGCCACCAGGCTTCAAGTGATTCTTATGCCTCAGCCTCCCAAGTAGATAGGATTACAGATGCGTGCCTCCACACCTGGCTAATTTTGGTACTTTTAGTAGAGGCAGAGTTTCATCTGTCTCTACTAAAGCCAGGCATCTGCCCGCCTTGGCCCCCCAAAGTGCTGGGATTACAGGCGTGAGCCACTGCACCTGGCTAAGAACTGTGGTTTTCTTTTTTTTTTTTTTTTTTTTGAGACGGAGTTTCGCTCTTGTTACCCAGGCTGGAGTGCAATGGCGCGATCTCGGCTCACCGCAACCTCCGCCTCCTGGGTTCAGGCAATTCTCCTGCCTAAGCCTCCTGAGTAGCTGGGATTACAGGCACGCGCCACCCTGCCCAGCTAATTTTTCGTATTTTTAGTAGAGACGGGGTTTCACCATGTTGACCAGGATGGTCTCGATCTCTTGACCTCGTGATCCACCCGCCTCGGCCTCCCACAGTGCTGGGATTACAGGCTTGAGCCACTGCGCCCGGCCAGAACTGTGGTTTTCAAAAGGTGTATAGTAACATAGCAAGATGGGTGCAATACAATACTTACTGGTCCCATTCAGAAAAATGGATATGGCTGTGACAATGTCCTGGCAGAGCGCTACCCCGTGTGTGGGTGCCAAGGTCATAGCGCTTGCAGTGCATACCAGCTGTGTCAAGGCGGGGCAGAGGAAGCTGAACAGAGAAAGTAACATCTGGAGGTGTGGGGGCGTGCTTTGCGGACAGGAAACTGTACACGTCCTGAAATCAGAAGGAGTCGGAGCCTTCTAGGAAGTGAGAGAAATTCAGTGGGTCCGGAAGGAAGCGGTAAGTGGCGAGGCTGGGAGGTAAGCAGAGGCCAAATGGCGAAGGCCTTTGGGGCCTGTCCTGGACAGCAGTGTCCTGTCGTGATCACCGTGGATTTGGACGTGGCAAGTGGGAGGCGCCAGCCTTGGCATCCATAGAAGTTCAGGGGATTTATTTGGGTATAATTGATGCATTTCTACTTTTGTTAAAAGAGCTGGCTGGGGATGTGAGGACTAAATATGCAATGTGGAAAATGGAAAGATTCTAAGATTCAAAGTCTTGGCCTCAGTGTCACATCCGGTCAAGGGAGCAAATAGTGTGAAAATGAAAGTAAAGCCGAAAGATGATTATTTTTCAGTCTGAAAGAAAACCTCTGCTCTCTGCTAATTGTGTCATAAAGGTAGTATTTAGTCCCTTTTAACTTGGTTGTTGGCTGTCTGTTTCAGATGTCTTAGTCAATGCAATTCAGAGGCTTAAGACAGTAGTCAGTTATAGCCTAGTATGTTTGGACAGTGTTAGTTCAGGCTAAGGGTTTTCAGGTATGATAACAAATGTGGCATTTTATAGCTTGGAGCGCCCTCAGTTCTGAGATCCAAAGGTGATTAATAAGCTGCTTGGTTTGAATGGTGATTGTGTCCCCTCCAAAATTCATGTTGAAACTTCACCCCCAATGCAACAGTATTAAGAGGTGTGGCCACTGGGAGGCAGAGCCCTCATGAATGGGATTTAGCACACTATTTTTTTTTTTTTTTTGAGATGGAGTCTCACTCTGTTGCCAGGCTGGAATGCAGTGGCGCAATCTTAGCTCACTGCAACCTCTACCTCCCGGGTTCAAGCGATTCTCCTGCCTCAGCCTCCTGAGTAGCTGGGACTCTAGGTGTGCACCACCATGCCCAGCTAATTTTTGTCTTTTTGGTAGAGATGGGTTTCACCATGTTGGCCAGGATGCCCTTGATATCTTGACCTCGTGATCCACCCACTTCTGCCTCCCAAAGTGCTGGGACTACAGGCGTGAACCACTGCGCCCGGCCAGGCGTTAGCACCCTTGTAAAGAGCTCAAGGTTGAGGCGGGTGCTCCTTTGCCCTTCTGCCTTTTGTCATGTGAGGACACAGCAACAAGGTGCCATTTTGGAAGCAGACAACAGCCCTCAGCAGACATCAATGCCAGCACCTTGATCTTGGATTTCCCAGCATGCAGAACTGTAAGAAAAAAATTCTGTTCTTTATAAATTAGTCTTAGGTATTTTGTTATAGTAGCACAAATGGACTAAGACATGGGCTTTAGAAATACCTTGAATGTTTCATACTTGTTCATCAAGTATGATATCTGGAGCAGGTATTTCACATCTTGAAAATACAGAGGGATTTTACGGAGAAAATGAGAAAAGAAAAAAGAGCTGTCTTCTTTAGCATCTCCCGTGCTGGGTGCTTTTATTGTCACTGCCCATGCAAATGCACTACAGCATGCAGTTGAAGAATTTCGATTTTCCTCCTGCTTGTTAGCACTTCTGGAATACCTGCTTGCCTGTGATTAATACCTCTGGATACACATTGAATCACCTGGGGAATGTCAGCGAAACAAAACAAAACTAAACAGATGCCTGGCTCATTCCTACAACCAAAAGAATTGAAAGTAGAGTCTCAAACATATTTGTACATTCATGCTCATGGCAGCATTATTCACGATAGCTAAAAGGTGGAAGCAAGCCATATCCATAGATCAAAAGAGGAATGGAGAAACAAAATGTGGTATATTCATACAGTGGGATATTATTCATGCTCCACCTTGCTACCATCTGGGTGGCCCTTGAGGACATAAAGTGAAATAAGCCAGTGTCACACACACACACACACACACTCTCTCTCTCTCTCTCTCTCTCTCTCTCTCTCTCTCTCTCTCTCCATATATATATATATATATATCATTCCACCTGTAGGAGGTACCTAGTCAAAATCAGGGAAAATGGAGGCTGGGTGTGGTGGTTCAAACCTATAATCCCAGCAGTTTCGGAGGCCGAGGCAGGTGCTCAAGACCAGTCTGGCCAACATGGCGAAACCCCACCTCTACTCAAAGTACAAACATTTGCTGGGTGTGGTGGCGTGCACCTGTAGTCGCAGCTATTTGGGCAGCTGAAGCCAGAGAATTGCTTGAACCCGGGAGGCAAAGGTTGTAGTGAGCTGAGATCTCCCCACTGCACTGCAGCCTGGGCCACAGAGTGAAACTCCATCTCAAAAAATAAAAAGTGGAATGGTGGTTGGCAGGGACTGGCGGGAGGAAGGAATGGGGAGTTAATGTGTAAATGGGCGTAGAATTTCAGTTTTGCAAGTGAAAAGAGTTCTGGAGATAGGTGGTGGTGATGGCTGCACAATAATAGGAATTTACTTAATACCACTTAGTACCCATGAGCTTAATACCACGGAGCTGTACACTTAAAATGATTAGGATGATACATTTTGTGTTATATGCATTTTACCACAATTCTAAAAATCAGAGGGGAAGTTAATGTGATAAAGCAACACTTGGCCACGTGCGGTGGCTCACGCCTGTAATCTCAGCACTTTTGGAGGCCGAGGTGGGTGGATCACCTGAGGTCAGGAGTTCGAAACCAGCCTGGCCAACATGGTGAAACCCTGTCTCTACTAAAAATACAAAAAATTAGCCGGGCGTGGTGGCGCATGCCTGTAATCCCAGCTACTGCGAAGGCTGACGCAGGAGAATTGCTTGAACCAGGGAGACAGAGGTCGCAATGAGTTGAGATTGTGCCATTGCACTCCAGCCTGGACAGCAAGGGTGAAACACATCGCAAAAAAAAAAAGCAACACCTAATTGTAAAATTCTTATGGAAAATTATCTGGTGGCACTATCAAAAAATATTTGGAAACATAGGAGCAGCGTGCCAACTGCTAAATCGTGTAAGGGTAGGTAAAATGGACTCTAGTCGTGATCTGATAAGTCAGTGGAACAAGAATGGGCACCGCAGAAGGGACTCCATGATTGATGTGTTCTCCTGTGACTTTTTTTTTCTTAGTGTAAGTCTCTTATTTTCTTTTGCCGAAAAAAAGAGAGCAGTGCCTAGTTGTAGTGTTTCTGATAGGATTATGTCCAGAAAGGGCCAGGAAGCTAGGTATAAGATTCATCTCTGCCAAAGCTAGCATTCATTCCTGGGCTTTTTTTTTTTTTTTCCTAGACACACATTTTCAGGTACATCAAATTGGAGAGTAAATAATAATGGAATGCCTGTTATGCATAGGGCCTGGTGCTAGAAGTACAAAAACACCATTTTGATCAACAAAAGAACATAGACCCTGATGCCGTCGTTCACATATTCTATTGAATTTATCATATCTATTGATACCAGAGGACATTAAGCAATTAACTGAACAATAATTACTAAGTAAGGATTACATATTATTTATTAATTACTTAGTAATTGTGAGAGAGTCATACTTCAGGGGGGCTTTTAGACATACAAGACACTGAACCAGTTTGAGTAGATCAATGGAAACCCTAGGAAGGGGCATTTGATCTGAACCTTGAAAGCTGAGTTTTATTAACATCTCCTCTCCCTCTTCATTCTTTTTGTTTTCCAGCCTTCTTGTACCTCTTTGCCCTCACCAACCACCTGGGTTATAATCATCTTTCACTTACAAGCTACTGACAAATAGCTTGTCAAGGGTGGTGAGTCGGCCAGCGCTTTGAGAGGCTGAGGCTTGCAGATCATTTGAGGTCCGGAGTTTGAGATCAGCCCGGCCAACATGGTGGAAACCTGTCTCTACTTAAAAAAAAATACAAAAACTTAGCTGGGTGTGGTGGTGGCACCTGTAACCCCAGTTTCTCAAGAAGCTGAGGCAGGAGTATTGCTTGAAACTGGCAGGCGAAGGTTGCAGTGAGCCTAGATTGTGCCACTGTACCCCAGCCTGGGCGACAGAGCAAAACTCTGTCTCAAAAAAAAAAAAAAAAAAGGTCGTGAGATGATACTGTTTACAGCCTCCTTCAATCCAATAATGAAACTCCTAAAGGATAAACAGCTTACTTTTTGTTGGATCAAGATTAGAGAAAGCTGTCTTTCTCAAGTCAAATTTAGTACTTTACTTTTTTGTGTTTTCAGCAACTCAAGCATCCCAACCTTGTCAACCTCCTGGAAGTCTTCAGGAGGAAACGGAGGCTTCACCTCGTGTTTGAATATTGTGACCACACAGTTCTCCATGAGTTGGACAGATACCAAAGAGGGTGAGTGATCCATCCCTTACAAACAAAACTAAAACACACTGGGATTTGTGAGCAAAAAGGAGCAATGACTCATTTTAAGACCAGGTAAGAACAGCCGGTGTTTGTACAACATACTCTGCTGCCGAGGTGGACTGAGAAAAAATTACCAAAAATGTTACAAAAGAGATCATAGTCATTTTAATGAAGAAACCAACAGAAGCATCGTTAGATTGAACCTGATTTCTTTGGTACGCCATTTCTGCATAGAAGAGATCTCAGTCTCTAAGAAAAGGAAGGATGTTAGTTAGTCCTTGCCTGACTAGGGAGGTAGAAGCGCTTGGAGATTGAAAGGAAGGGTCCAAAGGCAATGGCTACTAGGTAATTTGAGACTAAAACAAACGTGATTTCATCGGAAGCAATCTGGGTGTCTCATCTGCTGTATTACTCAGGATTTCTTTGCTTTCAAGTGACAAAAACCCAACTGAAGCAAGCGTAGGTGAAAAAAAAATGTGTTGCGGCTGTAACTGGGAAGGGTGGGAGTGACTCCGGGGTCTCAGCTGATCTTACCACGCATCCCGCCCTAGCATATGCAGCATCTTTGTGTGCCCTGGAAGAAGGCTTGGTGAGCAGACAGAGCCTTTGTCTGAAAAAAGAAAAAAGGAGGAGAGGGTCCCTTCCTGCAGTTGAGGACAGCCTCTTGCAGGGTGAGCAGACTGGATTCTAGCTCCCAACCACTCCTTAGCTGGGTGTTTTCAGGCAGGGCAACACAGGTGGTGGCTGTTCTTTCTCTCACTCTCCCCCAGCCCTGATTCTTCTTCATTGTGCCTTGCAAATAAGCTTCCTTATATGGTGGATTTGGGAGGATATGTGGGTGGCAGAGGATGGAAGGAGTTTGGAAGGGAAAAGTACAAAATAAAAAGCATGGCCACAGACTTATATCAACCTATATAACTGCTCTAGAAGAAAAAGGTAGCACATGCACATTAAGTCCAGTGGAACTCCAATTGGCTCAGCTCAGGTGATGCAAGTATACCTGGAGCCAATTATTGTGGCTGGAGGAAGAGGGTGGAATGATTAGCAGGTCCTGGGAGATATTATTCAAAGAAGGCTTCATGGTGGAGGTGGCCTTGGAGTTGAAAGGGGAGGAGACTTGAGAGAAGTTGACCAGGGATGAAAAATATCCCATCCTTTCCTTTTTCGGCTCTGTTCCTGGGAGCCCAACTGGCTGGGGACGATATGAAGAGTGGATTATAGATCAGAGCTGTGGAATGGTGTCCCATCCCATGGAATGCGAATGGCTCACATTCACACTTCAGTGGCTGGAGGCTGAGGCTCCTCCAACACCTCTTTCAAGTCTTTGCCAATTGTTTGCTCTGCCTTGTGGTGATGGTTGTATATGATCTGCTGTGACCTCCAGGCTTGTGGCTTGTGGTTTGTTAGTGACCATAGCACAGACTCTTCATGTTTCGGAATGTTAATTTACATAGCCAGAGAGCCAAGAGGACAGACACCTCCCTTCAGAAAGTCATCGATACAGAGAAATTATGTTTTCAAAGGAGAAAACATTCATATGTTGATATTTGATCTTTTGATGGCTTGCAAGTGACACTTCAATTAAACTTATTAACATGGGCCGGGCACGGTGGCTCAAACCTGTAATCCCAGCACTGTAGGAGGCCGAGGCGGGTGGATCACGAAGTCAAGAGATTGAGACCATCCTGGTCAACATGGTGAAACCCCATCTCTACTAAAAATACAAAAAATTAGCTGGGCATGGTTGCGCGTGCCTGTAATCCCAGCTACTCAGGAAGCTGAGGCAGGAGAATTGCCTGAACCCGGGAGGCGGAGGTTGCGGTGAGCCGAGATCGCGCCATTGCACTCCAGCCTGGGTAACAAGAGCAAAACTCCGTCTCAAAAAAAAAAAAAAAAAACTTATTAATATAAGGTACTCATGGCTGTGTGGTACCAAAGAGATGTATTTGATTAATCATATTAAGTGTCTTGGGAACGCTGATTTGTAGGAGTCAAAAGCCATGAAGTTCAGCTCTTTATTTGGTATACAGTTTGAGCAGAAGAAAAAGGGCAATTACAGTTTTTAAAGCAGATTTTTAAAAACTCCATTGGCTGAAATAGGTTATATGTTCCAGGAAATAGAAAATGCTTTAATATGGGAGTGAGAGAAAACAGAAAAACCTGTAGATTACAAACCCGTAGATTGTGGTTAATTACAAGAAACATCGTTTCCAAATGGTAAAATGCTATGGTTTGCCAAATATAGGATTTACTTAAGGAATACTATTAAATATGCATGTTTGAAAAATAAGATATATTCTTAACCAGATTATATCCATTTATTTTGAAGGTTGAAGATTTTTTGTTTGCTTGTTTTAAAAATAAGCCACTTTTGATCATACTGAATAATCATTACTTCTCCAATCTATTTTATTTTATTTTTTGAGACAGAGTCTCGCTCTGTTGTCCAGGCTGGGGTACAGTGGCACAATCTCCATTCACTGCAACTTCTGCCTCCTGGGTTCAAATGATTCCCCTGCCTCAGCCTCCCAAGTAGCTGGGAATACAAACATCTGCCACCACACCTGACTAATTTTTATATTTTTAGTAGAGATGGAGTTTCACCATGTTGGCCAGGCTGGTTTCAAACTCCTGACCTCAAGTGATTCACCCGACTCGGCCTCCCAAAGTGCTGGGATTACAGATGTGAGCCACCTCACTCGACCTTGAATCTACTTTAAATGCAATTTCAAATTTTTGCTTGTCATCATTAAGGAGTAAATGTTAAACTGTATCAACCAAAGATTTTGAAATTCATATGAAAACTTTTTAAAATTTAATTTGATTTAATTTAATTTTACATTCTGGGATACATATGCAGGACATGCAGGTTTGTTACATATGTAAACGTGTGCCATGGTGGTTTGCTGCACCTATCAACCCATCACCTAGGTATTAAGCACTGCATGCATTAGCCATTTATCCTGATGCTCTCCCTCCCACCAGCCCCCAGCAGGCCCCAGTGTGTGATGTTCCCCTCCCTGTGTCATGTGTTCTCATTGTTCAGCTCTTACTTATAAGTGAGAACTTGTGGTGTTTGGTTTTCTGTTCCTGCATTAGATTGCTGAGGATAATGGCTTCGATCTATCCATGTCCCTGCAAAGGACATAATCGCATTCCTTTTTGTGGCTGCATAGTATTCCATGGTGTATATGCACCACATTTTCTTTATCCAGTCTGTCATCATATGAAAACTTTTTTTTTCTGCCAATATTTATTCCTTATTTCTCTTATGTTTATTAGCAATGAGAAGAATGTCAGTGGATATACCCGGGACTAGTAAAGTTGCTTTCCTCAGGGGAATCTAGTTTCTGATTACAATCAGAATGATTTTAATGTTTTATTATTTGGAGTGATAATTGCTATTGGTATTGGTAAATGGTATTTAATTCTTTTAGTTCTAGGAAATATTTTTTTAATTGCATTTTCGGTTTTGGGGTACATGTGAAGAGCATGCAAGATTGTTGCCAATCACATGGCAGTGTGATGTGCTTCCTTCCTCCCCATCACCTATATCTGGCATTTCTCCCCATGCTATCTCTCCCCAACTCCTCACCCTCCGCTGTCCCTCCCCTATTTCCCCCTGACAGACCCCAGTGTGTGATGCTCCCCTCCCTGTGTCCAGTAAACTACAAAATCCCAAGAGAAAGATCTGGGCCTTCTTCACCTGTGTATTCTCAGTGTCTTCTAGCTGCATATTTGGCACTAGGTACATACCCAGTACTTGTAGAATGACTGAATTAGCAGATCAATAAATTGATAGTTACAAAATGATTTTAAAGAAGGATAATCATACAATGTTTGGATTTTCATTTTAAAACAGTTACTTTGATTTAAAATTTTTGTAGAGATAGAGTCTTGTAGTGTTGCCCAGGCCAGTCTCAAACTCCTGATTCAAGTAATTCTCCTGCCTTGGCTTCCCAGAACACTGGGATTATAGACATGAGCCACTATGCCTGACCTAGGGAAGATGTTCTTAAAATTGCATGTGCTAGCAAGGCTAGGAAACTCATTCTACCTTAAGACATTTGTTTCCACGTTGGTGATAATGGCTGTGGCTGAGCTCTAGGGTAGAATGGGAAAGGGCTACAACAGGCAGGAAGAGAAGGGGCTCAATTATTTCTCATTCTTTATTGCTTTTTTTTTTGGCGGGGGGCGGGGGTGGGGATGGAGTTCTGCTCTTGTTGCCCAGGCTGGAGTTCAGTGGTGCAGTCTGATGCCCCTCTATTTTCTGCTCTCTTATGAAGTCCTGTTTCTTCTTCCAGTAGGAAGCTTCGCTTTGTGCTGTTTTTGATTATGAAACTCATGAGTGGGCCTTGATTTTCATCCATTATCCTGGCACTTGCTGGGCCTTTCCTGCCTCAGAAAAAAAGTTTGAATTGTTTTGCTATTGACTTCCTGTTCATTGTTTTATGTATTTTCTTTTTCTTGATCCTCTATTATTTGGGTGTGGACTCTTGGACTGGTCCTCTCCTTTTCTTATAGTATCCTTTTCTTATTTCATAGATAGAAAAACAGCGTTTCTTTTCTCTCTGAGGATATTGATGGTATTTAAATACATATATACACTTTATTTTTATTTTACTTTAGGTGTATACTATATCCAGCATTTCTCCCTATGTTATCCCTCCCCACCCTCTCCAATCCCCGCTGTTCCTCCCGTACCCCCTCCAGCTGCCCCCAGTGTGTGATGCTCCTCTCCCTGAGTCCACGTGAACATTTTCTCTTCACCCTCCATAATTTCTGTTACTTTTAAGTTGCTTTTTTTCTGTTTGTTCTGGTCTTCCACTTTCTGATTAGAGGCTTTTCTTGGACATTATGTAATCTCTGTTGTGTGCTCAGTTAAGAATAAGAAACTATTGGAACCTCTGAGCTTCACTATGGTTTTCTAGCTGGGCCATTTGCTGGGAGAACCTCAGTGTCAGAATCTTCAGATCTTTCCCCCGAGCTCCCAAAAAAAGTCTTTGAATAGTTTACCTGGAGAGTGAAGTTGGCCTGCTGGGTTTCTCAGAGTCTGGTGAAGGAAGAGGGTTGGGGACTCCTAGCACTCCGCATTTTGTATGTGTACAGTCCTTTAATTACCTGTTTTAAAACAGTATCCACAATCCCATGTATGCCAAGTGTCCTCTGCTTTATCCTCTCCAGAAACAAAGCTCCAGCCTTCTGCCAGGTGGCGGAAAGAGTGTTTCTTATGGGCAAATAATAAAGGAGGGGATCTAGGGAGTTAATTATTTCCTAAACAGACTTTCCCACACTTCTTAGCTCCGTAGAGATCTTGGCTGCTACTTCCTGAGCCTCTTGAGGATTCTTTCGGGATAAATTAGTTGGTTCTCCCCCTTCCCTCTCCTGGCTTAGAGTTTTGCTTTCGAGGATTGTTAAGTTAATTAATTGTCATTGTTAAGTTAATTATGTTTCCTTCAGTTGCTTTCTGGATTCCTTCTCCTGTCCTCTCTGACCTTGTGAGGGTTTGTCTTTAGAAGTCTTCAGCATAGTTCTAGTCAGGTTTCGGGAGGGAATGAAATTTGCTGGGCTTGTTCAATCCATCATCTTAACGCAGAAGTCCTTTGAAGCACTTTGGTCAGTTGGTTCTGTGACACCATATTCTCCTGAGTGTTGACTTATTCACTTGATGCTCTCAACTCATGTGCCCCTTTGGGGCCCCCTTCCTCTTTTTGTTGTCTCTGTGGTGAAGGGTCTCGCAGCTTCCTTCCGAGCTCCTCTTTAGCTGGATTCACTCCTTAATTGGCTTCGTTTGGTCCTACGCCCCAAATACCAACGGTATGCTGTGCTTCTCAAACTTACCTTTCCAGCCTGACCATCCTTCTGAATTTAGAATCGCTGACTCAGAGTCTTCCCTGGGGTGTCCAGTAAGTATTCCCTTCCCCAAGCCAGTTTCTCCTCCATTGTTCTCTGGGGTAAAGGTCCCATCATGTACCAGTTATTCTAGCTAACAATGGGATGTCATTCCTTGATTCTTCTCTCTCCCTCACATCGAATCTCTCAGAAAATCCTAGAAGTGCTGTTTTAAAAATACAGCCCAAATCTGGCCACTTCTCACCACCTTAACCACCATTTTAGATGTTCCCTTAACCACAGCAGCTTCCTGGGCTACCCTAGATCCACCACTTCCAGCACAGCACTCTCATGCCCTCTCTCTTTCGCTCGCTCTCTCTCAGTCCAGCACCACAGAATGTATTCTATCTATTCTCCCCACCTTTTTTTTTTTTTTTAAAGATGGGGTTTCACCATGTTGGCCAGGCTGGTTTTGAACTCCTGACCTCAGGTGATCCACCCATCTCAGCCTCCCAAAGTGCTAGGGTTACAGGTGTGAGCCACGACGCCCAGCTTTTTTCCCCCCTTTTTTATAGTTTTAACTCTTTTCTCCAACAGAGAAAACCTGGCCCCTCTTATTATCTGAGTGTTTCAGCTAAAAGGAATCTCAGAGTCAGAGGCCTCTGCATTTCAGAGACAAAACTGAGTAAAGAAGTGAGGTGAGTAGCCTATTCAAGATGACACGAGGTAGTTTGTATAGAATTTTTACATTTGAGAATTTTGTAATTCTGGAGATTAAATGTGCTGGGGATTAAAGAAGCAATAATGATATGTGACTATAATTTACTTTTTTTTTTTTTTTTTTTTTTTTTTTTTTGAGACAGAGTCTCACTCGGTCGCCCAGGCTGGAGTGCAGTGGTGTGATCTTGGCTCACTGCAACCTTCACCTCCTGGGTTCAAGAGATTCTTCTGCCTCAGCCTTCCAAGTAGCTGGGACTACAGGTGCCTGCCACTACGCCCAGCCAATTTTTTTGTATTTTTAGTAGACATGGGGTTTCAATGTGTTAGCCAGGATGGTCTTGATCTCCTGACCTCGTGATCCACCCGTCTTGGCCTCCCAAAGTGTTGGGATTACAGGCGTGAGCCACTGCGCCCGGCCTACTTTTATATGCTCCTTTTATATAATTTATTTGTGGAAATGTTTGTAGGAACTAAAGTTGCCTGCCACTATATCACTATAAGTAATCCTATATTAATACTTAATTTACAGGCCAGGCATGGTGGCTCATGCCTGTAATCCCAGCACTTTGGGAGGCCAAGATGGGTGGATCGCTTGAGGTCAGGGGTTCATGACCAGCCTGGCCAACATGGTAAAACTCCATCTCTACTAAAAATATGAAAATTAGCCAGGCATGATGGCAAATGCCTGTAATCCCAGCTACTCAGGAGGCTGAGGCAGGAGAATCACTTGAACCTGGGAGGCAGAGGTTGCAGTGAGCTGAGATCATACCATTGCACTCCAGCCTGGGCAACAGAGCAAGACTCTGTCTCAAAAAAAAAAAATACTCAAATTTATTCAATAGTCAAAAATATATTCCACTTTTCTGGATGAAATGTAGAGGTTACGGGGAAGGCTGAGGCAGGAGGATCCCTTAAGTTCAGGAGTCCGAGTTTCAGTGAGCTGTGATAACACCACTGCCTCCAGCCTGGGCAGCAGAGCCAGCCCCTGTCTCTAAAAAAGTAACAAGTGGAGGCTGGGGAAAAGCATTTCCCCCAATGTATCATCTTAGTTGCATTTTTCTAAGCCTTTTTTCTTGACAGTGACTTTTTCCAGTGGCTGTGCCTATATTCCACTCACACAAGGAAAAGGGAATTTGGAGAGAAGCAAATGCAAGCCCAGGGACAGAGCCCCGGTCCAGCAATGTCCAACCATCCTTCCTGGAAGTGACCTCTTCCTTTCCTTCCTGTGATCCCACTCTCTGTTCAAGTGCCCTCTGATCTGCTTGAAAGGATTTCCTGAACGTCTGGCCTGTGACAACAGTGGCCTTGTAGCCTCTCTCAGAGGTTAAAAGTGACTTCTTGTGGTCCCCTTAACACAGCCTACTCAAGAGTTTTCTCCTGAATTACTTATTAGTTTTGGCTGACCAGAGCAACATTGTTGAATGTTTGATTTATCAAAACAGTAAGTCCAGCCAGTGGGTTGGGGTCTCAAAAATAAATGCACGCTCTCTGTGGTTCATTTCTTTCACTCCCTGCCTTGGTTTGTTGTTGTTGTTGTTGTTTTAAATGCTCCCAGGTGAGGTGCCTCTTTCTAATTCACACAAAGTACCTGCTGGGACTACTGGTTGCCCTGGTAACATAAGATTTGAGTCGGGGAGGAAGCACTGGGAGCAGTGGCTTGGAGCTGAGCTGGTGTGATGGAGGAGAGGGTAGAAAGATGTAAGTAGGGTACATCTGGCTGCCATGGCAGCAGGGAAAAGAACCAGGATGCCTCGGGTTTTTACATTATTACTAACATTTGTCACATGGTTTGCAATGTAAAGCCCTTCACTATAATCAGTAAAGTCTTCATTATCTAAACAAACAAACAACAGCAATGCTGCTCTGAGATACCATGTGCCCACACATGGAAGATGAGTCCTGCTTCAAAGCCATCGGTTTGGGGCAACTTGAAAAAATAAACAGCGTCTTTTGTGCTGAATAGTAACTAACTTTCCATCAACAAACAATTCCTTGTAGAAATGGAGCTCAAAGTTACCAGGCAGTTTCCCAGTGGTTGTAAATACTTGTTGAAATCCCTGGAGGTTTTCATGCCTTTACCTATAGAAGTAGATGTTTGCATATGAAAAAAAGCTCATCATCACTGGTCATTAGAGAAATGCAAATCAAAACCACAGTGAGATACCGTCTCACGCCAGTTAGAATGGTGATCATTAGAAAGTTGGGAAACATGTTGTAGAGGATGTGGAGAAATAGGAACACTTTTACACTGTTGGTGGGAGTGTAAATTAGTTCAATCATTGTGGAAGACAATGTGGCGATTCCTCAATGATCTAGAACCAAAAATACCATTTGACCCAGCAATCCCATTACTGGGTATATACCCAAAGGATTATAAGTCATTCTCCTATAAAGGCACATGCACATGTATGTTTACTGTGGTACTGTTCACAATAGCAAAGACTTGGAACCAACCTAAACGCCCATCAATGATAGACTGGATAAAGAAAATATGGCACATATACACCATGGAATACTATGCAGCTATAAAAAAGGATGAGTTCATGACCTTTGCAGGGACATGGATGAAACTGGAAACCACCATTTTCAGCAAACTAACACAGGAACAGAAAACCAGACACCGCATGTTCTCATATGTGGGAGTTGAACAATGAGAACACATGGACACAGGGAGGGGAGCATCACACACCAGGGTCTGTCAGAGGGCTGGGGGCTAGGGGTGGGATAGCATCAGGAGAAACACCTAATGTAGATGACGGTTTGATGGGTGCAGCAAACCACCATGGCACATGTATACCTATGTAACAAATCTGCACCTTCTACATATGTATCCCAGAACTCAAAGTATAATAATAATAATTTAAAAAGTAGATGTTTGCATCTTTGTTAACCTGTTGTCCCTAGAATTCAACGGTGTGCTGGTCACACATTTTAACATTTTGGATTCATGGAATGATTGATGCATAAGATGACTATGTGTCACCTAGGGTTTTTTCACTACTAAAGCCTATCTTGGTTAACTTTTTCTTTTCCTCAGCTGAATTCCATGGCTACACTAAAGAATGTGTTTGTGCTTCTTTATTTTTATTAGGGTACCAGAACATCTCGTGAAGAGCATAACTTGGCAGACCTTGCAAGCTGTAAATTTTTGCCATAAACACAATGTAAGTCCCATGGTCTCTTTTGAAAAGTGAGAAGGCTCCCCTTAAGCTGAGGTGGAGCCTTGTACAAAGTTTATATCACACTTTTATGGGTAAAAATTTTTACCCAAATCTTCATAAGCCTGGTTGGGTAAATAGAGGCTAAAACTGCCAACCTAGGTATTCCTTCTTGCTTAGGTTATATAAAACATGCATTTTTATGATTTTAAGAAAATAGTGCCAGGCATGGTGGCTCCTGGATGTAATCCCAGCCCTTTGGGAGGCCAAGGTAGGCAGATCGCTTGGACCCAGGAGTTCGAGACCAGCTTGGACAACATGGCAAAATCCTGTCTCTACAAAAAATTTAAAAAGTTAACTGAGTGTGGTGGTGTGTGCCTATGGTCCCAGCTACTCAGGAGGCTGAGGCAGGAAGATCGCTTGGGCTGGGGAGGTCGAGGCTGCAGTGAGTCAAGATCATGGCACTGCATTCCAGCCTGGATGACAGAATGAGACCCTGTCTCAAAAAACAAGCCTACAAAAAAAAAAAAAAAAAACCCAAAAAATTAGTCATACATTTATACTGATTAGAAACCACTCAGATTTAAGGCAGAACCCCATTCACTTGGAGTCTATATGGTCTTGTACTCCCAAAAGTCTGTGAAATTAGGGGAAACCCCAGGTGACTCATGTCTGCTTAGCTGCAATATGTCAATTGCAGGAGGCGGAGCCCCAAGCGCTGTGCAAAGTACTAGTGTCTGCTTTGGTGAGTTATGAGTGTTGAGTCTGGATCCAGTGAAAGCCTGTGACACTCCTGGCCATAGCTGGCTGGCAGAGGCAGAGTAGACTATTGCCCAGGTGACATGGCTTCACAGATGCCGGGAAGCCTGATGCTCCATCCAGCGCAACACTGTCCACTGCCTGCGCATAGAAACCAGATTCCAATGTTAGAGCTTCGTTTTGGCCATGAGTGCAATTTCACTGCAATATTTTATCCTACCCAACTGCCAGGGTCAATTTAGGTGGTAGGGCTAAATCTCCTTCTTTATGTTGTTTCAAATGATTTTTCCTGATGCTGTATTCCCGGAAGGAGGAAGTATGAGAGTAGACAGCACTTCTCCCTGCGGAGCCTCCAGCTAGCTAAAGGCTATAATCGTTGTCATACACAGGGGAGAGTGGACACCCATATTGTTAATTACTGTGACTCAGCACTCTCTTGAGAGCAGGCTTTAGGATGGGAGAACAAGAGAGACTGCACTGAGATCCTGGTAGGGCAGATCTGGGACGATAAAAACAAATAGAATGCATACCACAGTTCCCTGGAGAGTCTCAGATGCTCTGTTTGGCTCCGTGTGCTGATGGGGGTGGGTGCAGAAACTTGTAAAGAATTCCCGGAACAGAATTGGAGCACATACTTGCTTGCAAGAACTTCTGACCATATGTCATCATGATATTCATGGTGTACCCATTTATAGCAATATGTGAAGCCAGTGGTAAAAGAACAGAAATCTCAGGGATGTTAATTGCAAAGAACCAGATAGATTGTAATAAAATCCCAAAATTATTTCACCCCCAAATTTTCCAGAATACTAAATACCCATGGGGAAACACTGACACTGATCCCTCACCCTGAAGATCCTCTGGAGTGAGAACTGGTCATGCCCAAGAAGAGCCCAAGTCCTCTCCAGATTCTTAAGAATAACTCCAGGGTTTCAGGCTGCAGGATGATCTCCCATTCTCCTCCTGAGAGGAAAACACTTGGGAAAGAGGAAGATTATTAGGGATCCTGAGCAGTATTTTGACCCAACTGTAAAAAAAAAAATGTAATTGTTAATTAGGTTGTTGATTTATTCTTTGCCAAAAAGATTGTCATTTAATGAGAAAATCATGTGAAGTTTCTCAAACGTTCTTCTATCACCCTGTCAAAGAATGTTGGCTGTGTGCTGGAAACCACGGGTGATTTGAGTCTAAACGATAGAGCGGGGCCACATCCTGAGGGGTGGCTGCAGCTTTCAGAGCACTTGTGTGTGGGACAGAGCTGACATCTAGCGACTCTCCCCATAGGGTGAGGGCTGCTGCCTACTCTTGTTTATCTTGTCGGGGTGAATGTCAGAGCTGGAAGGGAGATCTCTTGGCAAGCTGTGGTTGACGCCCTTCTCTTCCCAGCTTATCTCAGCAGGCCCAGGGCTTGTCCTGTTTACGAGGCCAGCTGTGTTCTGTTAGCAGTTAAATGACTGAATTGTGAATTCTGCTTAGGCACCAATTTGCAGCTCCTGCAGTGGTGATGCCGGCCTCACCAGGAGCCTTTCAACATTTTCCCTTTCACCTAGAATTGTCAGATTAAATACAGGACTCCCAGTTAAATTTGAATTTCAGATAAACAAGCGTAACTTTTTAGTATAAGTACATCCCGAAGTGCTTCATGGGACGTATTATACTAAAATAATTATTTGCTGTCAGGCCGGGCGCGGTGGCTCA